GGGCGGCGGGGGCGGGCGGGGCGGGGACGGGAGGGAATTCGGCAGCAGGTGGGAAGGGAGGTGCAGCAGCAGCAACGAATGCTGTTCCTGCTGCTCCTGCTGCTGCAGGGACACATAAGAGAGCTACATGGGGAGGGAGGTCCTCCACAGGGGGGGCCCTTGGTTTATGGGGTTCTAAGGAGACAGGAGAAAGTGCAACCTCATGGAGGGGCCCCCGTGCCAGCAACAGCAGCAACAGCAGCAACAGCAACAGGAAAGACTCGTGGCAGCGCAGGAGAGAGACACACCCACCTGCTAATACAGACCCCCACTTCAGTCCTGCAGCAGCAGCAGCAGCAGCAGCAGCAGGAGAGAATAGAGATTCTCCTTTGTACAGAGTGTCGGACTCAGCGTCTCTCAAGTGGCGCAGATCGCAACAACAGCAGCAGCAGCAACAACAGCAGCAGCTGCAGCAGCAGCGACGGCGGCAAGCCGAGCTGGCTGAAGATTGGCTTAATTCACATGGCATGGGAGGAGGCAGCAGCAGCAGCAGCAACAGCTGCAGCAATAACTTAGGAGACAGCAGCAGCTGGGGCTTAGGTGCCCCACAGGTTCCCTTTGACCCACAGCATGCGCTGCAGCAGCTGCTTACTTATGCGCTGCAGCAGCAGCAACAACAGGAGCAGCAAGAGCAGCAAGAGCAGCAGCAGCAGCAACAGCGGCAGCAGCAGCAGCAGCAGCAGCGGGAGCAGCAGAACAACTTTGATTTATCAGTAGCTGCTGCTCTTTTAGAGTCCTTAGGAGCAGGGGGTTCGCGCCTTTCGGCGCACCCCTTCGCCAGCAGCAACAGCAGCAGCAACAGCAGCAAGACGCTGCTGCCAGCAGCAGCAGCAGCGCCTAGCTGGCTGCCTGGAACTCTAGATGATAGAGTACCGGGGCACTCAGCAGCAAAGCAGCAGAGCCCCTTGGATATAGCAACAGCACTTGCTGCTGCTGCTGCATGCAGCATGACGCAGCAGCAGGGGGAGCAGCAGCAGGAACTGCTGCAGCAGCAACAGGAGCTGCTGCAGCATCAGCAGGATTTATTGCTCCAGCACCCGCAGCAGTCTTTTGTGGTACAGAGCAGTGTGTTGCCAACAGCGGAAGCGCTTAGCAGCAACAGCAGTAGCAACAGCAGCAGCAACAGCAGCAGCAGCAACAGCAGCAGCAACAGCAGCAGCAACAGCAGCGACCTGAAGCAGCTAGCGGGTACACCTGCTGAGTTTTCTTCTGAGTCTTCAACTGTCTGTCCCCTTTCTATTACAACTGTCTCCATTCAAAATATTAAAGACCTTAAGTAGATATACGCACCACGTGCACGCATGCATGCATGCATGCATGCACTGCTGCATGCATGCACTGTTGTGTGCATGCATGCACGCCCTGCTGCATGCAGGGAAGCAGGCACAGAAGTTCATGCATGCATGCATGCATGCATGCGGGAGTACAGCAGACATATAGCATGCATGCGCGCATGCATGCATGCATTCATGCATGCATGCACACCGATTGTGCATGCATGCACACCGAGCATACATGCATGCATGCATGCATGTACATGCAGCCAGAATTCATGCACATTCAACAAGGATGCATGCATACATTGCATGCATGCTTTTTTGCTTGCATGCATGCATGCATGCATGCATGCTCACATTTTTGCATGCTTTTTTGTGTGCATGCATGCATCCATTTATGCATGCTTTTTTGCGTGCATGCATTTTAGCATGCATACATGCACACCTTGCCTTCATGCGTGCATGCATACATGCGTGCATGCATGCATGCATGCATGTATTCGTGCATGCATAGCTGCACTTTTGCATGCATTTTTTTGCATGCGTCCATCTTTGCATGCATTCATTTTTGCATCTATATATACATACATGCATGCATGCATGCATGTGCATTTTTTTGCATATTTGAGGCGTTTGCTGCCTTTATTTTATAGGGTGTTGATGCAGCAGCGCTGCAGTCTTTGTGGCGCTTTTCTTGTGTTTTTCTTTTGCCAAGGATGGGGCTTTCTTCGTGTTTCTTGCATTTCTTGTTCGTGTATTGTTGCGTGTCTTTTTCCTTCGTTTGAATGCATGCATGCGTGCGTTTGCATGCATGCATGCATGTTTTTGCATGCATGCATGCATGTGCTTGCTTGGATTTACTTGCTTGTTTCGGTTTGCTTCTGCATGCATCTGCATGCATGCATCTGCATGCATTCATCTGCATGCATTTGCATGCGTGTGCATGCGTTCGTGCATGCATGTGAAGGCAGCAGCAGCAACGGGGACCGGGGCTTGCCAGTGCAGCAGGACTCTGCTGCTGCTGTTGTTAGTGCCCGGGCGAAGAAGCATCCGTCTCCGTGTTGCAGGAACAGTTGCTGCAGCAGCTGCAGCTACTGCTGCTGCTGTTGCTGCTTCTGCTTCTGTGGCAGTTGCTGCTGCTGTTGCTGTATGCCTATGAGATATGTGTTGTGTTGCTGCGGTCTCAGCAGCACAGAAAGGTAAGCGGTGGCGGCGTAAACGCGTGTCTTGTCAGTGACAATGCGTGCATGCATCCGCATGCATGCAGACGCATGCATCCGCATGCATGCAGATGCATGCATGCGTATACATGCATGCAGATGCATGCATGCATGCATGACGTGCCCACCCCAGCGTTGTCTTCTCATGCGTGCTTTTTGTCTGAGGCATTTTCTGCTCAATGGAGGATACTTCCTCCCCACACAACTGCATGCATGCATGCATGCATGCATGCAGATAACGCATGCATGCAAACCACACATGCATGCATGCATATAACGCATGCATGCAATGCATGCATGCATGCACTCAGTAGCAGCAGGCGTTTACTTTTTTGCTGCCGAGTTGCTGAGGGACGCATGCACATGGGTCTCAAGTATTTGTGGCTGCAGCCCCAACTTAACACACATTCAGGTTTTTGAGGTGTCTTTATACTATTAAACTCCAAACCCTAAACCCTACATATTTTAAACCCTAAACCCTAGAGGAGAAGAGGGGATCTTTGGTAGCAAATAGGATATCTTTAAACCCTAAACCCCTTCTAATGCCAGACGGTCGGCAGCAGCAGAACGGTGCTACCAGTACTACTAGCAGTAGCAGCAGCAGCGACGCTGTTACAGCAGCAAGAGCAACAGGAACAGCATAGAGAGCGCAGTAAAGAACAGCAGCAACAGCAGCAACCACAGCAACAAAAACAGCATCGGCCTCCGCCACAACTGCAGAGGGCAGATTACAGCACCAGGTGCAGCAACTCGCGAGCTGCTCCAATTATACACCAGCACCAGCAGCAGCAACAGCAGCAGCCACAGCAGCAAGGTGATAAGTGGTGGTGAGCTGCAGAGGGGAGAATAGATTTGTACGAGGAAAACGGGTAGACAGACAGCCTAGCTGAAGAAGTAACAATAAACACTTGTTCTCAAATCCTAAACCCTAAACCCTAAACCCTAGACATACGCAACAAGGGAAGAAAACCCTTTCCCTGCTTTTGTGCTGCAGCAAGTTGTGTTGCAGCGGCATCTGCTGCTGTTGCTGATGAAGCAGATGCCAGCTAGTCTTATCCTCTCTATGCTGCTTAAGCGTGACCTAGTTAGACAATTAAGCAAGAACACCGACAACTGCTGCTGCTGCTGCAGCAGCAGCAGCAGCAAGCGAGGCCCTGCTGGTCGGCCGTGGTGATGCAGTAGTAGTAAGGGGTAAATAAAAGTAAAAAAGGGAAAATAAGAAGACAAATGTCTTTTTATATGGGTTTTCATTATATTTATTTGCTACTGCTGCTATTCTGCTGCTTTATTTGCTGCTGCTGTTGCTGCTGCTGCTGTTGCTGCTTCGGGTGTTGTACATGCAGCTGCAGTCCAGACCGCACCGGCGGCTACGGCTGTGCGGCCCAAAGGAATCTTTGTCTTTTTTCTTCTTTTTTTAGTCATTTTTCCTCTTTTTTATCCTTTTTTCTTTAAATAAATCACAAAAACTATTTATTGAAGACCCAACAAAGATATACCCCTGGGTAGCTGCGCCGCCCGACGTTGTATCGATACTGCGCTCCCGCCCGAAACCCTAAACCCGTAACCCTAAACCCTAAACCCTAAACTGTCATTTATATACCCTGAATTTAAGTTTTTCTTGTGTTGGTTTATATTTTTTCCCCTTTTATATACTAAAACAGCCTTTTCTTGCAGTGTTTTGACACTGTTTCCTCAGCTGTCGCTGTGCCTCCCTTATATATATATATATA